GCCTGCATAAACATTTACAGGTCCGCCAGGATTTATACCCGAAAGTATTACATTTTAAAACGGACAAACCGGTTGTTCCGCATACACGAACAGGCCCCATATCTTAGTCCCTGTTACTTTTTCATGTTTCCTTTACTAAAGAGAATATATGTCCTCTAGGAACTGGTTTGCTGTTAGTACACTTGGTAGTGTACTTTTCAAGTGTCTTGCTAGTATACCATGGAAAGCGCGATTGCGAAACTGCAGTTACTATTCGGAGAAAATTTAAAGCTGGTTCTCCCCGGTTCTTCTTGCTATTTACTGCTACATATACCCGCAATAATATTAAGCGATAACTTAAAATGTCCCCCTCCCCGACGAAATTCTCTCTAGACCCACCAGGGCCGATACCTACATTGTACGGATCATTTATAATTCTACGAGTCCATTTATCAAGTATTTTTTGCTTACACTAGATAACCCTAAGGAACCACGGTATGTCGTTAGTACTCGTTTGTGTTTGCGTTTTAATTAATGTCCTCTTTCGTCACTGCCACCTCTACGATCGGGCATTGTTACCGGTCCATTGACACTGTGTGTCGAACACTCAAAGGACTAAAAGACCCGCTGTCGTCGCCTTTGTTGTAGCCAGGTATGCTTGTTATACAGGTATATATTTATTTTGTGTATTACGTCAGTACGCGCGGTGCTGACGGGTACGATGTATACAAACCATGGCACGTTCATGATCTATATTTGATCTGTATCAGGCGCATGTCGTTATATCGTACAGACCGCGTCACAGCCCTGTAATCTGTCTGGTTCCGCGTAACTGGGACCGGGGTATCAACACAGCTGATCAGCCGACTAACACAGCTGGACGGAATGTGTTACGAACAGGTATACGCTCAACCAGGGAATTCTTCAATATAATTAACAGGTGAGTTAATTTGTTTATTTATTTGTTTGTTTGTTTAACAGTAGTAAGGATTACAACTTGATTGGGAGTTTCTTCATTATAATTAACAGGTGAGTTAATTTGTTTATTTATTTATTTGTTTGTCTGTTTAACTGTAGTAAGGTTCCTGTACAAATTGACAGGCAGTTTCTTCATTATAATTAACAGGTGAGTTAATTGTTTATTTATTTGTTTGTTTGTTTGTTTAACTGTTGTAAGGTACCTGTACAAATTGAGTTCTTACCGTGCAGATACGTAATATATATTATTTAAGTATAAGAAACTAAAGTGTATTTCGTAGAATGTAGATTTACGTTATACACGTATTAATCAGAACCGATTTGACATTTGACTGACAGAATATACGTTCACCTGAAACTCTATCTTATGGTAATATCAAATATCAAATCAGTTATCGAGAATCAGACTTAGATTTCAAATGTCTTTCAGTAGATGCTAAAATATTACCAAGAGTTCGGGCATTTAAATATTTTCAGTTTTTCAATTAATGTTTGAAGTTTTAATTGAGTTTAACACACACTAATCAAAAAACTTATCACTTAAATCTAGGTGTTTTTCATTGTGACTAAATTGACTTTGTAAACTTTTATTAGATCAAGATAGAGCGATATACGAATTTGGTGTATTACAAACTATTAAACATTTATTAATATGTGGCTGAAACGTCAAAATTCTCTAAGTAATTGATCTGCATTTGAAAAACCTCATGAAATTGACATTAACAAATATATAAAATCCTAGCTGATTTATTAACAAGGACTAAGAAAGATGGAATAAAACCTGAGGTTTTTACCTTTAGCAAGAGAAATGAACTCAAACCTTAGTTACCAAGGCTAAACTCAAACCTTAGCTACCAACGATGAACTTTAACCTTAGGTATGAACACTGAATTAGGTCGATGAACTCAAAATGTTCAGGTATGGTCATTGACTTAGGAAGATAAATTTAAAACCGAAAGATTAATATGGACTTAGAGATATGAACTTTGAGGCATCAGCATTGACTTGGAGGGATGAATTAAAAATCTCCAGGTATCAACATTGATTGTGGGTGATGAGCTCAAAATAACCAAATATGGACATTAGGCAGTTAGGAGACTCCCTAAGACCCAAACTTTGTCTTATCGAGTCGTTTATTTCCTTTTGTGACCTCTACTTGGGGCTTCGAAAGTAAATCTGCTACTCCCATTGCAACAATTTAGATTTTTTTTTCTCTTTACTTCCTTACAGTCTTTCATTTTCTAGTGCCTGCCTTGGCAATCTCACGTTTTGCCGTTGCGTTGAACGTTCGCTCTAGCGAGCAAGTTTATGGGTTCTTTCCCCAAGCCGTAACGTACGAATGTCTTTGAAAATGGTAACTGTTATTTCTTGATAAACGTTTCACATTTAGAGTAATAGCATAATGTGACCAGGTGGAAATCCATGTGCTTTGTGCCTTCGGCATGGTATTTCAGTGAGGTAGCACTCTTCAGTCGGCATCAGATTCAAGCTACAGCAAAGAGCCAAAAAGGCACCTACATATTGCCTCCAGCAAACATGCACACACGCAGGCATACAAAGCATACGTGGAGGTACGTCCTTAAGTGTCATTAGCTGTCCAAGGGACGTTAAACCCCATTAACCAAACATTCAGAATCAACGTAGACTTGGAGGGATGAACTTCAAGCTTACATTTCAACATTCTAAAACAGCATGCAACCCTAGCCTCAAATTTTGATGGACTGATGTGACTCTTGAGGCAGTTTTACTGTTTGTTTAGGCACTCTTCACAATTGGCCGGGTTTCAAGTGACGTCATTGTCACCTACTTGTACACTTGAAGCATCAATTACGACCTCATATTTCCACACCTGTCGAAATAGAAAACTTAGGATAAGAGTCCCGATTTACATCTTGTCTAAAACGATTGTCGACCTCGATGTACAGTTAAGAAGTGTTAGTGTTTAATTATGTGATTACATTTAAACGATTTAGTGTCAAGGATATTCAATGCTTTCGTTTACGGTCTACGTTAGTTGTCATTCACAACGAAAACTTTACTAGAAACCCAAAACGAGATTGCAGAGTTAAAGGAGATATCTTTATATGAAAAAGACATATTTTTAATTGACATACGGGGATCTCTTTGAACGAATTAGAGGTATCTCATTAAATAACCTTATAATGTAAACTAGAGATATCTCCAAAAGAAACAGAGATATAAAATGTCTATAAATGTAAAAGAAATAATCTCTAAAAGAAATATATATCTGTAAAACAAAAAATTCTTTAAAAACAGAATATTAGATTTTTCAATTAATTAAATAAAATTCTAAAGAAATAAGTTATCTTTTTAAAAACACAATTGAGATAGTTCATGAAATAATTATTATTTTAGATATCTCTGTTGTTAGAGTTATTAGAGATAAGTAAGGAATATGTATTTTTTATAATATATCTCCGAAATAATCAGATATCTTAATTGTTTGTAAGATATCACCTAAATTATAAATCTCTATCTTGGAGGCACGATAGTCTAGTGGTAGGACGCCGGGCTCGTAACCGAAGGGTTGCGGGTTCGAGTCACGGTACGGCACTGTACATGTGTTGTATGTTTAAACAAGAAACTTTACTCTGCTTGTTCCAGTCTACTCAGCTGTAAATAAGTACGTGGTTGGGCAGTGCTTGAATTGTTGAATGCCAGCTGTAAGCGTCGAAATGGCAGCACCGGCTGTATACTCCCGAGGGAGTTGAGAAAGATATCACTAAACGTAAGTCGTTCTGTAGAAGGATACGTACTGTGGTTTCAAGTCAAATCGGTCTTATTTAAAATTTAACTTCAATTAAATAAACTGCTGTTTTGAATGATTGGTTAGGTAAACTATATGGTAGGTAAGTAAATGAACTTGCTGGGCGTTTATTTATTGGTTTTCATGGAGCTGTGATTTGAATATCAAATGAATGTTGTTTCTTTTTTTCTTGCTGCTTTTTATTTTTATTTTCTGATCCGTTCTGTTTAAATCCGGTTTGCATGATCAGTCTAGACCAAAAAACCTCTATTGATTTCTTTAATTTAATTTTAAATTCGGCGTCAAGAAGACATGATAACGATAGTTTATCAAAGGAGCCCGTCGTGATATAACTGAGAGGTAAACATGGGTCCCATACCCCCAAAACAGGAACATAATATTTGTATATGTGTGATATGTGTTCTGGGTAGAAGGGGGAACAGAAAGGGGGATACTGAAATGAAAGTCGGTTGTAGTGTGTACGTGTGCATTATAAGTAACAGTAAACCGGGCTTTAATCGTTGTCCAGAATGAACCTTCCGTTTGTGCGCGATAGGGAAAATGTTGGTCGGTTGTACAGGTTGAAAGTCATATAAACACATAAGGTCATTTAAGGACGTGCTTCCATGTGTGTTGTGTATGCGTGCATGTGTGTATGTGTGCCGGAGACTGAATGCTTGGGCAATTGCCTCCTTGTAATAGCGCAGATCTGGTGCCGACTTTATAGTACTATTTCACTGAAATAGAGAAAAGGAAATAATGTTCAGAATTAGGTTTTCAGCTAAAACACTGCATGATTGAAACCGGAAACTCATATTCAGAACGAGGCTTTATCACTAGCAAACACTGCATGCTGGGTACTAATGACGGATATAGAGACACACACAATTATAGAAACTGCGTTTTATGTGTAAATTTATACTTACACTGTCCTTTGAAAACATCGCTGAAGATTGTTTGGATAAGCTAGAGAACAGTATGCACTTCCTGTTTCGACATTGCGATTTAGCCAATCTACAAAACTACTGAGTCTTTCCTAAGAAGGGGAGGGGGTCCTAAATCCTAAATCATGCCTTTAACGGTAATATGTTTAGGATGGTACTGACTATAATACCAGAAATAGCCCAAGGTTATGACTGATAGATATTGGTTGTTTGCTTGTCGGTCGGGGTTTCGCGTCCCCAATCTCAACTCAACCGGGATCCCTTTAAAGCGCCATCTCAAAATGTTTCTCTGTTATATTTTTTGGCAATGGGCGCAGTAGTTCAATTTTGGTTTCTTTATTGTTCTCTGCGCGATGAGCAGACGACACATCAGGAAGCCTACGATTCCGCAGATGCCTCACATTAGTCGCTTCATAATATCATGCTGTGGGGTTACATCAGGTATATTCGTCCTCGGAAACAGCTGATTGTGAACATAGTGATGACTGAAAGTGAATTAAACTGATAGTGGATGCTGACGGTGATTTCTTCCACCTTTCACAGAAATGTATCCCGTTTTAGCAGAGAATATGTCTATTGTCGGTTGTCTTGTGATTGAAAGAATAGGATGGGAGAAAAATTATCATCCCCTACCTTGAGATTAAAAGAGAGAAATATCCAACCCTCGGGGTGATTATTTATTTGGTTGTCTAACCCTCGGATATATCAAATAAATTACTTCTCGGATTGGAGATTTCTCTTTTTCACTGTCAAGGAAGGGGAAGATTCCATTAATCTAAAAGTGGACCTTTCCGGTTATGTCTGATTTCGGACGTGGAACTCGACAAAGTTATTATACTCTTAAACACAAGATTCGTCTTGATTGTACAGAACTGTTCAAATGGGCTATTTCTCTATATCGGAAGCAAACACGTGTTTAAAGGAGCTTCTGAGGCCAATGCCTCCTTGTGGACCATGTCTACATAACAAATTCAACTAACCGGAAGTAGGTCAAGTTTAATTGGTGAAATAATTTACTCACAAAAGCCTCGATGTGTCAGAGATTACCTCTATATTGAAACTGTCTATTTCATATCAACATAACAGCGGCTTACAAATACTGACATTCAGACCGCCCTCTCTTGTAAACATTTACCTGAAATACGATAGCCAGCCATTTCAGGACAACTGAGCCGTGAGTAAGCTAAACATGGCTGTAGACCCGGGGATCTAGCCCTGCTGAAGCAGAAATCACGGGACGGGATTCGTATCAGAGCAAGTGTTTGGAAACAAGGAACTTATCAAGTTTTGTCATCAGATGTTGGTAGTGGGCCACTTACAATTATTCGTTTTCCCTTGGGTTATTGATATACTGAATTACTGGCAGTAGAAACCACACCAGTTACTCGACCATATATATTAAACCGGATCATCAGAGGTCGTAAATATATATTACTCCTCAAACAATTACGTTCATGACGTCACACCTGACCTTATTACCGCCGATGGATACTTTCGATTAGCCCGCGGATGGGAGTTGGAAGCATATTGCAACCGGCCAGGGTCGACCTCAGGCAGAACACCTGTGAGTGTTAGCTAGTTATACAGTAAGTATAAAACGTAGGTAGCAGGCCACCTGACATATATATACCGCTCACTTAACTGGAACGTACGTACGTATATTGATATACCTACATATAGGTCTGTAGAACGTGACGCGGAGGCCTAACATATAAGTAAAGGTAAGTTCAGCTATTTCGTTCAGTAGTTTATTAACCCTAAAATCAATTCATAGTAATCTAATGATTGCTTCCTGGGTTTGTTTTCATGTAATGTTTTTTTTTATATTTTTCTTCATTCATTTTTTTTTATTATATTTTCTCATTTCTTCCGTTTTGTTTTTCTGACATTTTTCTTTGTTTCTTGTACGTTTCATACTTCAAAACATCTAGCTATCATGTCTTACAAAACCTGTCATTTCTTTTCTTTTCTTTCTTTCTTTCTTTCCTTTTCCATCTTTCTTTCTTTCTTTTCTTTCTTTCACTTCGATTTTTACTCAATTCTTTTCTTCATTTTCAATATTGATGTTTTCTTTCATTTTTTTTAATACATTTATTTTTATCTATTCATGATTTTATTTCGTATTCTAAAACAGTAAAGGTTTCTTCGATTTCATCATGATCATAAAAATGTCTTGTCGTTTAAATTCCTTCAAATTTTACTAAAGGTTCATAAGTTCAGCATGTTGAACAATACATGCATCACCATGACATACAATGCACTTAGCAACGAGTGCAGTTAAAATATCGATCGCTTTCATCATATGACTACCTATGTATATTAAATCATATTACATACACCTAATTGTATAACTATTTGTCAACGAGTTGGTTGCACGTATATAATGACGTGACTACGGTGTTTTGAAACGGGGAAAAGAGAGGTGAACTTTTAGATTGGAAAGTTCAAGTTCATTTATTTGTTCGAGTGTAAGGCCCGTCAGACATTTACAATTAATTATATAGCATGTTATTTGATGTATTGCAAGCGTGCAGACATATAACAAAAACAGCGAGCTCAAAAATAACCCTCACCTCCGACTATTGTCGGAACGATGAAACATGTGTTGCAATACGATTTTACACCCGACGCAACTTCTCAGCCGGATTAAGATTTCGTGGTAAAATATACATCATTTTAGATATATATGAAGCGTATTTATGCAATACTGTTGTTGTAAGCATTAGACAGATCTATCATTTGACATCTGTGCCCTCAAATGTCAAACGATTATCTTTCCGAGTTTGTTTGGTTTAGTTTTATCAGGTTAAGTATCCTATCGCAACAGCTAAGATAATTTAAGCACGTGCATGTGTGTATTCATGTTCGCAAAGCGCGGATCTAATGCCACATTTAGAGTGCTACCTCACTGAAATGCCATGCTGTAGGCACCGAACACATGTACATTTATACTGACAACGGGTAAACCAGTTGTCATTACCCAACATGCTGAACGTTAAGTAGGTGATACCAACTATCTTTTTTTTGTTTTTGTTTTGGTTTCATTTTGTTTAACGTCCTATTAACATCTAAGGTCATTTAAGGACGTGCCTGCATGTGTGCTGTGTAAGCGGGTAAGTGTGTTTTAAATGCTGGAGACAAGGTATGTTGGCGTACTTGCCTCCTTGTAATAGCACGGATCTGATGCCGACATTATAGTGCTATCTCACTGAAATACTATGCCGAAGTCACGTAGCACAGCATTCCGCTCAGTCACATGTTGTATTACCCCCAATGCTGAACGTTAAGCAGGGAATAGCAACTATCATTATTAAGGACTTTGGTATGCCCTGGCCTTGGGACAGAACCCATTGCCTTCCTCACCTGGGCGAACGCTCAACATTAAGACTTTTGTATGTCTCGGCATGGTGACAGAAGAACCCATTGCATTGTTTACACGAAAGACTGTTCAACACTAAGACCACAAAGTGCGATGTTGCTAAGCGAGGCGCTAGGTAACAAAAAAGGTCTTTAGGGAGTAGGGAGAAAATATAAAGATCGCAGTTAATGTACAGACGTTATATTTCATTAAACCACAAAATAATGTAACGCATTTCATACATGGTAATACCTCCAGCTGTCGGCATAAATACGGTTTAATCGAAACATTTATGGTAAAAGTTGTTTACATTCGGAAACACATCAAGCCTCCGAATACGATTCGTGGTAAGCGATACGTATGTATTAGTTCTGGTGACGAGCACAAACAGGCAACTCATGGTGTCAACAAGCTTACTTATACACGCAACATAATTCCCGGTTCTTATACTTTATTTAGATTAAAAGATTTAAAATGAAAATGCAATGAATTAGCCGGGTAACATTTCCGATAGTCGTTAAAAAATCTAAACAACAAATTTTAAAGAGACAGAACGAGGATACCGAGTAGTTAAAACTCAGTAAGAGATATGTAACGAATGAAAATTCAGAAATAAGATCTGCTTTTTCACAAAATGTTAAGACCTTTCTCAGCATGTGGTGAACGGTCACATTTTTCACATTACCTTGGTAAGGAGGTGACGTTCTAAACTGTTAAAGACATATTTGTATACAGAATAATTTATTTGCTATCATTTATTTCCTTTCAGACACAAAGGGGCATCCTCAATCAAGATTCAATTATTCATCGCATCGGCACGCCCGAGTGCCTTCACTGCTATAGACCCCTGTCATTCTTGCTGATCAGCAGACGTATTATTGTGTCGTCGGAGAGAGATAACCGATTCGTCTGGACTCATCAAGGTTACATCACCACAGTTTTACGACGGGGTCATTAACGTCAAGATCCATCAAACGCTTGATTGGTGACGCTTGATATTTATTTGGAAATAATCGCCTTTGTGACGTCGATGATCAAGCATGCCTTTGTTTTATTATCATGTTGCAGACATTTATTTAAAGGCGGGCGATAAATTCGACATACCAGTGTTGTCATACAAACTTTTTGCTTAAGAACCATACATGCACTGGTATTTGCTAGTATGATATGATCATATAACTGGTGTGATCCAAACAGACAATATGGACAGTATGGTTCTCCTACCCTTCATGATGCCACTTCCGGTTGCGCTGACATTGGTATGTACTTCCGTTTTGGCTGTCATGCTCTATGTACGTTCGTTTTTCACCTCCACTGATACTCTACCGAAGATGTACTACAAGGAGTCAACTCTCAATACCCATCTCCTTAACAAGTCATCGATCATGAGACGGCCCTTTCGGCCAAGCTTCTGGCTCAAGAACCGTCACGTGCAGACATTCCTCGGCTGTGTCCGACCTCAGTCTATTGTCCATTTCGAACGTGAGTATCTCCAACTTTCAGACAAAGGGGTGGTTGCACTGGATTGGGTAATCGGCGCAAATTACGTCATCAGACGCAATAGTCCCATATGTATTGTTTTTCCTTCACTGACTGGTGACGCTAATTCCGTCTCAGACTTGTGCGCATGCACCGCTCGTAAAGGCTTCAGAACTGTGGTTTTTAACAGCCGTGGACACGGAAATAGCTTCTTGACAACAAAAAAGTTGCAGAGTTTCGGGGATCCTCTTGACGTTAGACAATCTGTGTTATATATACATCAAAAGCATCAACGTTCCCACATTGTCGCTGTGGCCATGGGATCCGGATCCACAGTCCTGTTTTCGTATTTAGGGGAGTACGGCTCTTCGACAAGACTCAAGGCAACTGCCTTTATATCACCAGTGTACGATACAACGCAAACGCTAATTCGTGGAATGTCAAAGTTTTATGAATTTTCATTGTTATCAAAATTAAAATTCATATTATTTAAACATGCGCATGCTCTATCAGAAGTAGTGGACATGGCAAAAGCAATGTTGTGTGGGAGTATGTTGACATTTCAGGAGCAGGTGTATTGCCGTAGCAACGAGTCACTCGACCAATTTCTGGAACGGAATGACCCGATGCGGGACGTTGACGACATATCCGTTCCTGTCCTGTGTGTGAACAGTACTGACGACCCTATTTGTAAACATAACCATACGCCATTCGATATCTTTCAATTTTATCCAAATATGTTGCTAGTGGCAACAGACCATGGCGGCCATTGTGGTTTTCTGGAAAGTGTTCATAGACCTTCGTGGACCGATAAACTGGTTGTGGATTATCTAGCTTCCGTGTTAGAGTTTACATCTAAGGGTTATGAGCATTCGGGCTGATAACACTGTGACTATTAATCAGCTTATGTTCATATAAAAAATATGTATTAAATTTGCTTTCATTATTATAATTTGCCAGTGACATTCCAGCATCTGTAACGTCAGTATATCGGAAGGATACGCCGACAGACATACAACAGTTGTGAGCATTTCTTGTAATTTAAGTGAAGCTACAACAGAATAAATACACTTTATTTCAATTATAAAACGTGTTATAAGTTTGAAATCAAATGATACATTTTTTCAACCGTGAAATACTCACATGAGTGCGTTTTAATTTAGAACGTCTGAATTAAATATTAAACAAAATGGACAGACACAAGTTTTCCGACTTATTGAGTTTTCTCCCGATAAATACATCAAATGTGTATATATATATGCATATTAATGTTTACATCAATAAGTATATGGTGAAATATTGATACCGTAAGAGAAGAAAGAAAGACAGAGGTCAAATTTACAAAAAGAAGAAAAACAGACAGACATATAGCAAGGGGGTAATAGATAAACAGAAAGACCCAGATAGGCAGACAGACAACAGATAGGCAGACAGACCAAAGATAGGCAGAAAGACCACAGATAGGCAGATAGACCACAGATAGGCAGACAGACAACAGATAGGCAGACAGACCAAAGATATGCAGATAGACCACAGATAGGCAGATATACCACAGATAGACAGACAGACAACAGATAGACAGACAGACCAAAGATAGGCAGATAGACCACAGATAGGCAGACAGACCAAAGATAGGCAGACATACTAGGCAGATAGACCACAGATAGGCAGACAGACAACAGATAGGTAGACAGACCAAAGATAGGCAGATAGACCACAGATAGGCAGACAGACCAAAGATAGGCAGATAGACCACAGATAGGCAGATAGACCACAGATAGGCAGAATGACCACAGATAGGCAGATAGACAATAGATAGACAGAAACACCACAAATAGGCAGACAGACCACAGTTAGGCAGACATACCACAGATAGACAAACAGACTACAGAAAACTATCAATAGGAAGATAGACCACAGATAGGCAGAATGACCACAGATAGGCAGAATGACTACAGATAGGCAGAAAGACCATAGATAGGCAGAATGACCACAGATAGGCAGATAGACCACAGATAGGCAGACAGACCAAAGATAGGCAGATAGACCACAGATAGGCAGACAGACAACAGATAGGCAGAAACACCACAGATAGGCAGACACACCACAGATAAGTAGACAGACCACAGATAGGCAGATAGACCACAGATAGACAAACAAACTACAGAAAATTATCAATAGGAAGATAGACCACAGAAAGGCAAACAGAACAGTTCTGTTATAGGCATTATAAATAAAGATGTCAAAAATTACTTCCAATACACTGCATGCGCGTCATAGCGTGCGTTGTCAGGGAGTTAAGATGATTAGACCAGGGTTAGTTATACGTTTCAATTAATTACGTTTGCTTACATATATATAGCAGCTTATAAACCACTGAAGGTCACGTAAGGTGTCAACTATTAAAGGTCATTGTCTCTTTACCAGGTTAACAATTCATACTGCGGTATATAAATCACTGTTTAATACAATGTAGGAACGTGCGAGCTAGGTTTTGTTATCGTTTACTCACTTAAGTGCTTGATTTTTTTACTAGATATTGTTGGGTATGTACTATTACTTTACTAGAGGTTGTTGGGTATGTAGTGTTACTTTACTAGAGATTGTTGGGTATGTAGTGTTACTTTACTAGAGAGTGTTGTGTATGTACTTACTTTACTAGAGGTTGTTGGGTATGTAGTGTTACTTTACTAGATATTGTTGGGTATGTACAGTTACTTTACTAGAGGTTGTTGGGTATGTAGTGTTACTTTACTAGAGATTGTTGGGTATGTAGTGTTACTTTACTAGAGATTGTTGGGTATGTAGTGTTACTTTACTAGAGATTGTTGGGTATGTAGTGTTACTTTACTAGAGATTGTTGGGTATGTAGTGTTACTTTACTAGAGATTGTTGGGTATGTAGTGTTACTTTACTAGAGATTGTTGGGTATGTAGTGTTACTTTACTAGAGATTGTTGGGTATGTAGTGTTACTTTACTAGAGATTGTTGGGTATGTAGTGTTACTTTACTAGAGATTGTTGGGTATGTAGTGTTACTTTACTAGAGATTGTTGGGTATGTAGTGTTACTTTACTAGAGATTGTTGGGTATGTAGTGTTACTTTACTAGAGATTGTTGGGTATGTAGTGTTACTTTACTAGAGATTGTTGGGTATGTAGTGTTACTTTACTAGAGATTGTTGGGTATGTAGTGTTACTTTACTAGAGATTGTTGGGTATGTAGTGTTACTTTACTAGAGATTGTTGGGTATGTAGTGTTACTTTACTAGAGATTGTTGGGTATGTAGTGTTACTTTACTAGAGATTGTTGGGTATGTAGTGTTACTTTACTAGAGATTGTTGGGTATGTAGTGTTACTTTACTAGAGATTGTTGGGTATGTAGTGTTACTTTACTAGAGATTGTTGGGTATGTAGTGTTACTTTACTAGAGATTGTTGGGTATGTAGTGTTACTTTACTAGAGATTGTTGGGTATGTAGTGTTACTTTACTAGAGATTGTTGGGTATGTAGTGTTACTTTACTAGAGATTGTTGGGTATGTAGTGTTACTTTACTAGAGATTGTTGGGTATGTAGTGTTACTTTACTAGAGATTGTTGGGTATGTAGTGTTACTTTACTAGAGATTGTTGGGTATGTAGTGTTACTTTACTAGAGATTGTTGGGTATGTAGTGTTACTTTACTAGAGATTGTTGGGTATGTAGTGTTACTTTACTAGAGATTGTTGGGTATGTAGTGTTACTTTACTAGAGATTGTTGGGTATGTAGTGTTACTTTACTAGAGATTGTTGGGTATGTAGTGTTACTTTACTAGAGATTGTTGGGTATGTAGTGTTACTTTACTAGAGATTGTTGGGTATGTAGTGTTACTTTACTAGAGATTGTTGGGTATGTAGTGTTACTTTACTAGAGATTGTTGGGTATGTAGTGTTACTTTACTAGAGATTGTTGGGTATGTAGTGTTACTTTACTAGAGATTGTTGGGTATGTAGTGTTACTTTACTAGAGATTGTTGGGTATGTAGTGTTACTTTACTAGAGATTGTTGGGTATGTAGTGTTACTTTACTAGAGATTGTTGGGTATGTAGTGTTACTTTACTAGAGATTGTTGGGTATGTAGTGTTACTTTACTAGAGATTGTTGGGTATGTAGTGTTACTTTACTAGAGATTGTTGGGTTTGTAGTGTTACTTTACTAGAGATTGTTGGGTATGTAGTGTTACTTTACTAGATATTGTAGTGTATGTAGTGTTACTTTACTAGATATTGTTGGGAATATAGTGTTATTTTACTAGAGATTGTTGGGTGTGTAGCATTACTTTACTAGAAATTATTTGATATGTAATGTTACTTTACTAGAGGTTGTTAGGTATGTAATGTTACTTTACTAGAGATTGTTGGGTATGTAGTGTTACTTTACTAGACATTGTTGGGTTTGTAGTGTTACTTTACTAGATATTACTGGGTATGCAGTGTTACTTTACTAGGTATTGTTGAGTATGTAGTGTTACTTTACTAGATATAGTTGGGTGTGTAGTGTTACTTTATTAGAGATTGTTGGGTACGTAGTGTTACTTTATTAGATATTGTTGGGTATGTAGTGTTACTTTAATAGAGATTGTTGGGTACGTAGTGTTACCTTACTAGAGATTGTTTGGGTATGTAGTGTTACTTTACTAGAGAATTTTTGGTATGTAGTGTTCCTTTACTAGAGGTTGGTGGGTATGTAGTGTTACTTTACTAGAGGTTGTTGGGTGTGTAGTGTTACTTTACTATAGATTGTTGGGTATGTATTGTTACTTTATTAGATATTGTTGGGTATGTAGTGTTACTTTAGTAGAGATTGTTGGGTACGTAGTGTTACCTTACTAGAGATTGTTGGGTATGTAGTGTTACTTTACTAGAGAATGTTCGGTATGTAGTGTTCCTTTACTAGAGGTTGGTGGGTATGTAGTGTTACTTTACTAGAGGTTGTTGGGTGTGTAGTGTTACTTTACTATAGATTGTTGGGTATGTATTGTTACTTTATTAGATATTGTTGGGTATGTAGTGTTACTTTA